ATTTCAATCAAAAAAGGAGACTTTTCCATGGCTTAGTGCCTTTTTAAGGTATGATGTGAGACATCCCCTCAGGTTCAGTGCTTATTGCCAGCTCCAAGATTTGATAGGAAATGCTGGCAAGGGTATTCCAGACCCCAGACATTATTAGTGAGACAAACCAGAGAGGCTTTTCCCATCAGCATCACTCTGCCCACACAGCTCCTCTCATTACTCAGGGCTGGTTTTATAAACCTCAGCACAGAGATGCTCCCAGTTCTGAAGGGGCTTGTGCACTGCTCTAATTCCTTCTGCTGCTCTGAGAGTTCTTCAGGGAACTCTCAGCTCTGCGTGACATTAGAACAATTCCCTGAGTTAAGAATGAAACAGGAGCTGTACAGTGTGTTTTAAGAGCTTTCTTGGATGTGAGTTTCAGCTTGCTGCTGCTTCTGACACCTGGGCTGTGATTTTACATCCTTTGCTTTGCATGGCTGGTGGTAAACCAGCAGTGTTTCTATATATAGTTAAAGGACTTGGAAGATCAACAGAACTGTAAGAAAGTGTTGGCTTTAAGTTTGCTTTTCATATATTACTTTTCTCTCAGAAACATCTCCCTAAGGGGGATAGGCAGTCACTTCTTGAAATCTTGCTGAGATTTGCTTTAAAATAACAGTAGCTGCACTTAGGCACTTGCAATATGCTTTTCTTTTTGCCAGAGCTGTACAGATGTGAGTTCTGAGTCCTTCAAACAGCTTAGGGGGTAGCATTGCTACTGTTGGCAGTACAAATTATGAACATCAAAGATGTTGGGAAACTTATAACTGTACAGACCTTTCCTATGTGCAGGAGGGGTTGTGGTGATTTAACTGCAGGGCATTTATATTGCTGCAGCTTTGCATGTGACACCCCATCCAGGTAGTTTTTATATAGTCCATAACAAGGATGCTATTAAAGTCTGTTTTAAAAGCTATTTTCAAGTCTGTAATGAGAATCCCTTTTAATAAAAAGTGACTTTACTAATTTCTGAGTTTATTCAAATCTGAAACTAGACTTGCTGCACCTGTCAAAGATTACAACAGGCACAGCTACACATTTACAGGATATTCAGCTTTCTGTCTAATGGCAGAGGTAAAGAAAATGGAAGTGGTTCTGATAAAACCTGTATAAAGCCTGAGCAACTCAACAGGAGTCAGTAAATTTGCTCCATGCTGGGAGCTCTTTAAATGAGACACAAATCTAGCCCAGTATGTTTAGCTGGTATTCAGGAAGTATCTTTAATTCTGCTTTATCTTCTTTCTGCTTTATCTCTTCTCTAAGCTCATTATATGAATGTATTCAAACTTTTTTATTATTAAGGCTGGTCAGTTTAACCCAGATTAAAGATGTAACCAGCACACTTCAAAAAGTAAACATAGAGGAACAGATTTTTCCAGTGGAGATCAGCTCTTCCTTAGCCAGGAAAAACCCAGAGAAACAGATTTGCAGAGGTCTTGGTTACTGACTCCTGGGAATCTGGCCCCACAGATTTCAGAATCTTGGGTTGCTGCTTTTTCTTGCCTCGTGTGGGAGATGAGAGGTGAAGTTGGGCCAAGTTCATACACTCACATTGCAAGGAGAGTGTTCTTTTCCTCATCTAGTTCTTCATGTGGTAAATACAGCTAATTTTACTGTGTGTGATCTATGCATTGGAACAGCAGAGAAAGTACTGCTAAATATATGTTGACTATGGAATTCCTTTGTGTTAAAACTGAAAAAAAATGCCCAATAACTTCCATGGCAAAGAGCATAAGGTTTTTTTCCTAGGAACCACTAAGAAAGTTCTGAGACATTAAATTTTAGGTAGCACAATGTAGGTAAGTTTTCCCCTAGCAAATTAAAGTCAGATGATTAAATATCATTAAATAGCATAGGTAGCATTGCTTGTGTGACAAATTTCTGTGGTTTTTTGGTTTATGCTTGTTTAATGAGAATCTGTAGTTCTCATCATTCTGAGTTTTGTCTTTCAGCACTAAACAGATCAGAAAATAACAGAAGCAATAAATTTTGCCTTCAAGCAGATGGGTCCCACTTTCTCCTGTCTGAGACCCACCATGGAGACAATTCTAAAGCTCTCACCTTCCCCTAACTTAGAGGATTCTGAGCACTTGTAAGGAAAGGGATTATGTACATCACTTGTTTGATCCCCTGCTCAGAACACCAACCTTGAGGAAAAGTGTTGCAAGTTTTGCCCTGTGAGTTTGAGAGATGCTGAGGATAGTCCCTGGTGGCAGCATCTGTCTCAAGCCTGGGACTGTCCCTCTAATAACTCTGATACCTCAGCACGATCTTTGGCTTGTCTTTGGGAAGATCTCTAGTGACATGAACAAATGCCCTTGTAGGAGAATCACCTCTGCAAGGATTCTTCCCCCTTCCTCTGCAGCCTCAGTGGTGTTCTATGTGTGGTTTGCCATGACAGTCCATGTCCTGAAAAATTTCACTCCAATTCTCATGGCACAGTGTGATAGATTGTATTCCCCTCTTGGACACCCATGACAGTGTAGTCAGCATGAAAATTATGGGTAAGGCTGAATCTGAGCTGTTCTTTGCTGTGCTAAATTTCATGCCTTTGTGAAAAATTGAAACTTTCAGGCACAGAAAATAATCCCAATAATTTTTTAAAAAATAATAAATTCTGGGAATGCAATCAAGGATTTCAACAAACACACAGAAATTGCTTTTAGAAAGAAATACTCACGTTTAAGTATATTCCTTCTTTCCAGCTCCTCAACAGCAGGTCTTTGGCTGAGTCGCCTGCGGAAAAACACCAAAATCACATTTTGTACCATGCCTGTGCTTTGCAAAGTCTGCAGTGTTCTGAGTTCTGGTTGGGGTTTGCCTCAGGAGAGGATTGCAAAAATCTCTCTCCAGGGCATGTGAAGAAAAAAAAAAACTGGCACCAGAATTCTTTCTTAGCTTATTTCTCCCAAATGCCAGCAATGCAGGTAAAAGTTCTCCTCTAGTTTGCTCTGCTGTCCATGAAATGCTGCCTCGGAGTGTGCATCCTTTTCATCACTACTTCCCAGCCAGTCAGTTGGAACCAGCACTCCCCAAGAGTTAAATTCACTCTCGAGGGGGTGTTTGAGGTCGTTATCAAATGAGTTTCACAGTGATCTTCTGTTCCCCTTTCAATCACACGTAGCAGCGAGCTTCCTTGTCTCTAGGAACACCAGTGGTGCATCCTGACAAAATGCAGACTGGCCAGAAATAAAGCTTTCCTGTGGTTTTCCGACCACACATCTACCAGACCAACCCAGCAGCTCTGCTCTGCCTGCTGAATGCAATCCGTGTGCTGCTCACAGCCTCACTCTGTCTGAACGGAATGTCTTAGGCAGTTTCACCTCCCCTTTTCAGTAGTGCTGCTTCAGGATTGAGTCTTCAAATCATATGATCAGTGCCATAGTGATTTGATTCTGCATACTAAATGAGACTTCCCCACGAGACACTGCTAATATCTGCAGAGGAGCTCAGGTAATTGGACTCCTCACACACACACACATGCTGCATTTGCTGGTTTTCATGTAATAATCCAGCAGGCAGATTGGAAAGAGGTTCTGATGCTGCCTGGGCTGTGTTCTGGTAACAGTAAGGATTCTCATCGGCTGCTCTCAGCAGATGTTGCCAAGCCAGAGATGAAGTTACAGAGACAAAGAAATGCTCAGAGCAGGGACCACACTGCAAACTGCTGCAGTAGTTGCTCCTCTGCTGTGCATAGGAAATGGTTATAAAGTCATGCTGTAACAAGCTCTACATTTTATCCAATACACAACAGATGGAAAAATGAACTTAACAGAATAAAAGAACTGGTAAAAGTGCCTGATTCCGATTTCTCCTTGTTTTATTAGCCTTACCCAATATACCCTCAAAATCCACTCTGTGGTCTTATGTTATCAGACCCACAACTCCTTACCCTTTTTTAATTCATTTTCCTGGGATCACGGGGAAATCTTTGGCACCACAACCACTACACCAGATTCACGCAGACAGAAAACTTAGATTATGAGCTTTTGTGCTTAGAAACACCTCCAGCCTCTCACTCTTCCTACCTAACACTTTGCATCACCTAAGGTTTTTGTCCTGGCCTCTGGGTGCTCTTCAGGGTGATAAACTGGATACTCTAACAGCTGAAGTTCCAATAATACGAACTGAAACAGGAATGATGCTGAAATGCCTTATTAAATAATTTAAATGTGTATTTTTAATTCGTTACCCTCCTCACTCATTTCCCTGTCTGTCTCAGACATGACACAACTCTGGCTAGGTTTTGTTCGAAACAGATTAAAGTGCATTTTATAATATAAATCAGGGAAGAATGACTTCCTCCCAGAGCTTATCTGCAAATGAAAGGTCCACCCGACCTGCTGCTCACATGCCTCTCGCTCAGCCACTCTTAATTACAGCCCTGCCCTGAGAGATGGATAGATTCTCCCAAATCTGGACATTAGATTTCAGAGGCCCCTTTGAAACTGGGGGATTAAAAGCCCAACAGAAATGATTAAAGCAGCATGAGAACACAAATGTATATGAATGCTCTGTATTTCTGTAGTTGTAATGTGGATGATGGTTGATTATTTTAACCCTGGCTCCCTACACATGGGAAGTGCTCACATTTCTGTGCACACCCTCAGCATTACCCACTGCAGAATGAAGAGGTGCAGACAGACACAGGGATCTGTGTGCATGAGGTTTTTTCCTGAGGTTTTCAGAGGTACAGACCACACTTACAAAATTTGTGTCACAGACACAAACCTAGCCATGGACTTTGCTACAAAATAAAACTCTCACAGGATTTGGGAAGCTGAGGATAGAGTGCAAACCCCAAGTACTGCAAGTCATGATCAAATGAGAAGTGGCAACACCACCACACATTGTTGTTACCAAGGTGTAGGGACATTTTGTGTCTATTTGCTGTTTTTCTGTTCAGGAGAAGCTTCTCTCTGCCCAGAAACAACTTTCATTTCCTTTCTGCACTGTGAGAGCTGCTGTGGGGTGGCTGAGCTTGGGATAAGTCAGTGAAGGTGAAGGAGAGAGGACTCAGTGCTCACACTGACCTCCCTCAGAACTCACAGCTGAGCTCAGAGCAAGAAGGACAAACAGGTTCCTGAGGGCTCCTGGCAGGGCAGTGGCTCAGCACAGCACTGAGGAAAGCACAGGTTACCTCTGTCAAAAATACACATCACTCCTGAAAGGACATTTTACTTAAGGAATTGCTTCTGAGTTGTTTGTGCCCCTGCCTGAGTGAGCTGTTCTCTGGGTGCTATGTGGCTCTGAGCAATGCGTACTCCATTTTGGGGTATTTATTTCCTATTTTTCTGTTAAAAATCTGCCAAAATATCAAGTTCTGCCTGTAGCAGAACCAGAGACACCCTCTGCACACTGAGCTCGGTGTGTGTCCTCACAGGGACTGTCCAGCCCAGGGCAGAGACAGTGTCATGATCTCAGAAACATCTCCATGCCTCAGGGACATCTGTCCTGGGGAAAGGGCCACCAACATCCCTCACACCATGGCTGGGGAGCACTGACCAGGAATCAGGGACTGCAGACTAAGGCTCTGGAGAGGGGATGCTCAAATCTCCTATTGAAACAAACTCCAGCTGAATAACAATATCCACAGACTGCCCCAGAGCAGAGCATCCCAGAGGGTGGAGCAGGTACCTCTCCTGACACAACCTTTGCAAAGGCTAAAAACTGACCCCTCAGTGACTGTGGATGTTCTCCACAGCCTCTGTGTAGACAGGGTTTGTATCACAGCTGCAAGTCACTTTGAATCAGAGTCCTGCCTGGTTTGCTGTGGGTGCAGCAGATTCCTTGCCCCTGAGTGTGGGTGGGAGCAGAGCTCAGCCCAGGGCTCACCTACCCTCAGCCTAATTGTTCTGCTGCTCTGGCTGGAGGAGCTGTTGGAAGATTTCAGGGGGGCAAGAGGCTCCATCACTGCTGCAATGTGGACATGGATGTGGCTGTGGCTGTGTGTGGCTGAGTCCTGTGCTTTCTGTTTCTGTTGTTTTCACCTAGGAACTCACAGCCCCATGTGGACTTACCTCAGTGAGGTGACTGTAACTCCACAGGGAGCACTCACCCAGACCATTGCTTCTGCTGTGTGGCAGTAATGATTTCCTTTCAGTTGATTTAGGTATCTATTACTTGTTTCTGGGAAAAACATCCAATTAATGCTGCTGTGTGCTCGTGTGTCATTAAAATCCAGGTCTGGGTGGTTTTGTGCTGTCTGCTGAGAGAGCAGTGCTCCCTCTGAGGGCAAGCTGTGTTTGGGAAGGGCTTGAAACTGCCTTGAAAACTCTCAAGTAACTCACAGGCAAATCCTACCTCTGTCCAGATCCCCCACAGTGTCGTTGGGATTGCCATGGTCTCATGTTAAGAGTATCCAGTCCAGGAATTTGCTTCCCTGTTAGTTTAAACCAAAGGATGCCAAGAGCAGCAGTAAGAGGAGCTGAACTGGCAGCACCTCACAGGCAACTGCAGCTGCCTGGGGGAAACTGAGCAGAACTGGAGGCATCAGTGCTGCTTCCCTGGAAATGGTGTTTGGATGCAGTTCAGAGTTTGCCGGGCATGTGTCAGTGATGCTCAAGTTTGGATAGACACCACAATCTGAATATTTTCTCAAAATGCTAAGGTAGGCACTGTACATGTGCGAGGATAAAAGTGGGCACAGACACACAGCATTACATACACAGCAATTTCTTAAGTTCAGACCAATTACAAAGGTTTCGTGGTGTTGTTCTGGTCAAAGAATGCCTAAACCTCCAAGCACCAGGTGTGTTTCAGCTGTTTGAGGTTTGGGGAGTGTCTGGGTTTTTTTTCAGGCTACCTTTAGAATGTGTTCTCCAGTAATTTGGGCTCAGAAAGATAACTGGATATGTATTGTCATCTCTCAGAAGCCAAAGACTTTGCTTGTTCCCATGTTCTCTGCAGTGTTCCTCCTGTGGGTGAGAGGAGCAGGTCACTGCAGCTTGGCTCAGTCACCCTTGGTTCACCCCAAGAACATCTGCAGGTACAGCAGTAGGTGCTCTTGGTCTCAAAGCACCACAGGTGCTAAGTTTGCACATGGCCTCGAGGTATTTGTTTTCTCTGTGCAAGGAGCACATGGGAATCCTAAGACATTCACAGGTGTTCCAGCAGCTCTCGGAGGGGCAGTAAATCTATGGTGTGTGGCTGTTTCCTTCTGAACATGTGTGGTGTATAATTGTAGCTAAACAGGCTGTCCAGGGGGTATGAGGAGTGCTGCCCTCCCAGCCCCAGGGGTGGGAGGTCTCTGTGGGCTGCAGCCCTTCACCACGAGGGTCTGGTGTGAGATCCTGTTCCATATCTGCACAAGTGGAGACACCTGAGTTGTTAAACCATGAATTGCTCGTCCCCTCGGGAGCAAGGTCACATGTTGGTGAGCCCAAGGACTCACACATGTGCCTCTGACTGCTGATCAGTAGATCAATATTTACTTCACACAGCCAGACCGTCTCATTCACATTTAAGGGAATTAATGTCTTGGGACCAGCATTACACCAAGGTTGAGAATATTGGACAGTTACAGGTGACTGAGTCCTCAGCAGCCTGAGAATGTGCACATCACCAGGACCCAGGGTCTGCTCTCAGATGGGCAATGCATCAATGTGTCCTGCAAGCAGGAGATGCTGCCAAGTTTTCTGTCCTCAGATTTACCCTCAGCAGTGTCTGCTTTGTCTGTTGTGGGAATTGCATCCCAACAAAGGCACAGCAAGCTGGGGGCTTGCAGGTATGGGCAC